TTAACAAATAAAAGCAAATTTATTGATTTATAAAATAAAAGAAAAAAAAGTAATATTATTCAAATATAATAAAAAAAACAAAAAAAATTAAAAGGTTTACAGTTATTTCTAATCTTCTTTGGAAGTATCTTCTTTGGAGATATCTTCTTCAGAGATATATTCTTCTTCTTGTGAATTATCTTGATCTCATCAAAAGACTCTTCATTATTCTCTGGTTCTTGCTTATCAGAACTTATCTTAGTTACTTCTAGGATGTTTTGAATTCTTTTGAAAGTTTTGTTACTTTCTTTAGATTTTTCTAAATTTTTGCAGCTTTTTCTGGTTCTTCTAAAATATTTCAAATATATTTGAATATTCTTTTTTTTTTTTTTTTTTTTTTTTTTTACATAATCCTGCCTTTATTATAAGAGGTAATAGTAATAGGCTATCTAAAAAAATTATATAGCTATATAAATTTCTTTCCTTATACAATAAAGACTCATCTAGTTACCAAAGTATCTATATGTGACCTCACTTAGCAATAATACCTTTCCTCATTAGGGCTCTAACTTTCTAGAGCTATATCCTTTGATTCATTGAGAAGCTTATTGCTAGCTTTGTCAAGACTACTTTTTCTTAAATTTTTTTTCTTCAAAAAGGACAAAAGGATAAAGTAAGAAACTAACTAAATGATTTTACCAAGAAAATGAAAAAAAAAAAGGTGGAAAAAGAAAAAACAAGAAAAAAAAAGAAAAACAAAATATAGACAAGAGAAAAAAAATTTGACAAAAAAGATACGAAACAGTACAAGTATTAAATCTTAGTCTAACTATTGTAAAAATTATATAATACTTGACTCTAATTTAATGCATTATAAATATATATACATTCAAGATAAAGTAAAACTTGCCAGAATTTTTTAGAAGCTCCAGATATATATGGTAGCCTTTTCATACTATTTTGGAGCCTATTTTGGCAATACCTGTTCCCAATTTAGAATTGGTAAATATTGTAGATTTTTTGGAGGGGGTATGCCAGATTTCCTACTTTTTGGCAAAAAAATTCCTAAAAAATTACCAAAAAAGAGCAAGAATATGGTGGAGGATTCTTGGAAGCATAACCTTTAAATTTTCTAAGAAGTGTGTCAAATAACTCATTTTTTTGCTATTCCTCTTTGTTTTACCACTAAAAACTTCATCAACAGTGTGTACTTTATACACTACCAAAATTTTGTAAACAAGGACACCACCTTCTTGCTAGTTATCTTGTATACCAACGCTTTTGGCTTGCATATCAAAAATATAGAGAAGTCCCTAGAAAGCGAACTAGTTGACTTTTATAAAAACTATTGTATAGTGTTATTCTACTATATATATAGCTATATAGGCAACTCTCTAGCAAGGAAAATTTTGTTTTTGTTAGTAAAAAAATTTGGTTCAAGTGATTGTTGGGGAGAGTGTTATCTATATTCAAATATTCTAAAAACATAGATTATTTTAATTAATATTATATAAATATTTAAAATTACTTACCTTCTCTTAGTTTTTTATTATCTAAAATTTATTTAATATTAGATTTTTCAAAATAATTAAAAATTTTTAATATATACATACTTTTTCAATATACTTCAAAGATCTTTTAAGTTTGCTATGCTTATTCTAAGTATTTTAAATAGAGTTAATAAATAATAATAATAATAATTAATATATTTAAATTTTTACTTGATCCGAATTTTTTAAACTAGATTCTTTAGATTCTTTACTATTTTCTGAGTTAGAAAAATCATTATCAGAATTAGGTAGAGTAAATGCTTCATTTCTTTCTAAATACTGCTATAATTCGAATATATTCGCATTATTTTTGTTAAGATTTTAAATGCTTAGAAAAATAATAATAAAAACTTACTAGATTTCTTTTAACTCTTTGTTGTATAATTTTTTCACTAATTGCTAAGGTCTTGATATTAGGATTAAGCATTGTTTGGCATACTGCAATTGCATATGTAGCATTTTTGTTTAAAGCACCACCAGTTGGCCAAATTCTTTCTAAAATTTGAGTTATATAAGTATCTTCAGAACCTTCCTCAATATTCTTAAAGAGCTTCTCATAATATTTTTTTGTTTTTGCTGATTTTTTCCAATTTAAAACTTCTT